ATTGAAATATCATAAAGTCTTTACCACTTAATGAATTCAACATTTATGTGCATATTTTTGTCATGAGGCTTTCACACAAGTGCGGTTATACATCTCATAACAAAAAATATCCAAAGTCATGTCATGGTCTTTTACGCTAATGCATTTTTTCCTCTCATAACCAATACATCAAAAAATATCCCATTTGAGAGTTCCTGACTTAAATAATTTTAAGTCCCATCAAAACTACATGCTTTGATAATATTTCTGCACTCAATCCCTTTGTTAAGGGGTCAACAATCATATTTGAAGATGGCAAATAACTCACAGTTATTTCATTATCTTCAATAATATCATAAATATAATGATAATCAATTTCAATGTACTTACCCCTGGAACTATAAGCTCAATTTTTAATTGATGAAATAGCAGCCTGATTATCATAAAAAAATTTAACAGGTTCGTCGGCTATATCCAGCTTCAAATCATTTATGAAGTGTTTAATCCAGACGACATAAGTTGTGCAATGCTACAAGCAATATACTCGGCTTCCATAGTATATCGAACTACACAACCTTGTTTCTTACTAAACTAAGAAACACGTCCACTACCAAAGAGGAATACAATTCTCGTGGTTGATTTTCTATTATTTAGGTCTTCTGCAAAATCTGCATCAGCCCAGTGACCTCTAAGTTGTCAGTTTGGAAGCACAACTTGAAATTTTTAGTTTTCTGAATATATCTGAGTATCTTTTTTACAGCTTGCCAATGAGTCATCCCATGATTACTCTGAAATATACTTACAAGACCATATACATGATTCAAATCAGGTCATGTACACAACATGACATAATTTATACATCCTACAACTTGAGCATATGGAATTCTTTCTATTTCAGCTTTGTCACTATCATTTAATGGACACATTTTCTTTGATAATTTTAAGCCTTTACAAATAGGTGTATCTATGGGCTTGTAATTTTCCATCTTAAATATCTTTAAAACACTTTCTAAATAATATTCTTGAGATAAACACAAAAGTCTTAAACTTCTATTTCTTGTTATCTTAATGCCCAATACATATGAGCTTCTCCTATATCTTTCATGTCAAAATGGGAACTTAGCTAT